GCGTGACATCAGGTATCAAAAGCTTTGGCTTGGGCTAGCACCGTCACGTGGGGAAGTTCAATGTTGAGTCGTGGTGATTATTTACTTGCTTGCTTGCTTGGTGTGTGGGGGGAGCTGGGGGAGGGAATACTGACCCATTTCGATCAATTCAGCGGGCCTGTGACCCGTGACCGTTTGGCCGAAATGTCCAATTCGGCCACAGGCCGAATTTCGCGTGACCTATTACCCGATTGGGAAGTTCGGCGCGCCGCAGGCGCCGAAAATTAAATTTCGAAATCTTCCCGATTAGGACAGTTTGGGACCAAAAGATTTGGCTGTGACCCGTGACCCGCCGAAATATTTCGGCCAAAAAATCCGATGTGACCGTGACCCGCCTAATTGAATGAAATAGGTCAGTATCCTACACTGATCTGGAAGTCGCAGGTATTGGCCCTTGTTGCGTCACTGCCTCCGCGTCTTCCGTCCACACTTAAAGGGCTCAGTGTGATGGGAAGGTCATCCCGGCAGTCCGACGCGGACACAGTGATTGCGCCGAACGCGAACTTCGCGGTGCCCGACCCGACAGGCTGCTGGCGCAGTTGCGCTCACGCTGCCCGTCAATGCATCATATCATGATTGAGGTTCCGCTCCTGCAGCTGAGGTATTAGACCATGCCCATATGCACATCTCTTTGTAAAAATCCACGAGGCTCTTCAGTGCTGATCTCAGTGGATCACTGGGCATTGGAGTGAAGGAGACAGATGATGGTGTCCGACTCGGACACAGACAGGCTACGTGTGGAGCTAGCTCCGCCGCTGGTATCTGTCGCCGCACGCGGGGACCATTGATGCATCCACACATTAATTTGGCAATTAAGCAGCTCAAGGCACATAAGACGCTCTCCCGGGCTAACGAACAGCGTCCCTGGCAGGAGACGAGATGCAGGACCCGGGACCAGTCCGGTGCCCCACCGACGTCAACAAAACGGTACGCAGGTGGGTCCCCATCCGCGACGCACCTGCCGGGCGGGCTGAGGAGTGCCCGCCGCCGCGGGACGGCATATGTCCGTGATCCCGCAGAACATGGGCCGCAGGGATAGATGCTTGAGGGTCGAATGCAGATGCAGTATGGTGGAACACACTGTCGGTTGATCAGTGCTTTCAGAAGACCGATAAGGTGGAAGAGCACACTGAGCATTGGAGAAGTATACAGTGCGGCTTCTCCGAGGTCAATCTGCTGCGCGCATCATTTGGAGGCGCTAATGGACAGCGTTGTTGCCCACGGGCTGCATCGCATGAATACCGGTGCAGAGTGGAGGAATAAAGATAGCGCACTGCTTGCGCAAACAGCCCATGTCCGTGTTGTTGCTCCACCGCTCCAGAACATCTTGATGAAGACGCCAATGACGTCAGGGCAGCTCGAACACGCCTCCGAGTTAGGATGCTCTTCAGCGGCCGCCGTCGGAGTTGATGTCGTGGTCGATGCGCCGGTGCCCGGCCCGCCACAGTTGGGCATAAGCCAACCGCAGCGGGCGGCCACCAATCCGCGAATCGGTAGCCTGGCAGGCGCCTAGTGTGATATTGTGTCAGGTGTACGGATTATCCTCCATAGCGCTGAGGCGGATGGCAAGCAGCACCACGGGGCACGATCGCTCTCCGGATGGCCAGCGCGCAGACCCGTTAGCGTGAGCTTTCAAGTTGCGTCGACGTTTGATTTGCCAAGTCCGGACCCACAGAGTCGGAATCGATGCGCCGGTGTAAGTCCTGTGTTAGCAATTTCGTCTCAGCGGAGAGTCTCAATACAGATTTAGACTCTCGAATAAGTTGGCATCCAGAGAAGGAGTTGTTGGGGCATGTGTATCGGCTAGTGTTGCGTAGATCTGCCCCTGAGGCTGGCATTTTGCATCGAGACGAGTTAATTCGTGTCCTCGACAGTGCTGTTGCACACACGCTGCATAGTTATTAGTATAAATACCGGACCGGAGTGGAGGAACAAATCCGAAGATGACCACTCTCCAGCGGCAGGTCCATATGCTGGAAGATGATGATCATTGTCGATGTGCGCAAGATGGTGCTGACCGAGTTGGGCGTCAGGAAGCTGAGGTGGTGGCGGGGCGGGGCATCAAAGGACTGCCAGTGGTTGGGCACAAGCCAAGGTCCAAGCTTGCAGCGGGAGGAGAATCCAGTATGGCCCAGACCACATTTTGCATACCGCGGGCAGCGGTCCAAGTTCGGTTGGGAAATCCGAGGCAGTTGCTAGTATTCCTGCTCGGGTAGAGCATACGGTTGATTTGATGACTGGTGTCTGAAGACAGAGAATAAGCTAGGATAAGAGTGGGCTTGTAAAAAAGGTGCGCGCTCGGTCAGCGATGTCGGGAAAGCGAGGACAGCGTAACACGCCAGGCAAAGATCTCCAGCAGCACAGTGTCGCCACAGATTTAGACTCCCGGAGAAGTTGGCGACTGGAGAAGGGGTGGTTGGCGCATGCGTATCGGTTAGTGTTGCCGTAGCATTGCGCCAGCTGGCGCCGCAGGTGTGCTGCAAAGGCTGGCATTGTGCGCCGAGATGGGCGTCAGGAACAAAAAGGGAGGCGATTGCGTAAGATGTGACTGGGCGATCACATCATGATTAGCTCCGCGCCGGGCACGCCGATTGGCTGGGCACACGTGTGCGCTGTCAATATGTGGCAGCGCTTTCCTCTCTTCACTTCCAGCTTGGCTGCAACTGGTCGCTCCATGTTTCCGAACGAACTCTTTCACGGCGTGCTCAAAGATGTGTCGCCCGCCCAGCTCAAGCTCGTCGCTCTTGCTTCTCGTCGCCTGCGCCTGCTTGCCCGCCCATTCCTCTACAGCAAGCTTGCCGTGAAGCCATATGCGCCCGGGGAGGAGCGCATTGCCTGGTCAGGCGGCGCCATCCTTAAGCTCCCACCTGCTCATGAGGTGGTGGATGCCATCGCAAAACTGGCCTTCTTCATGTCCCCCGCCATTGCGCCGGTATGTGCACTGCATCAATGTCGCCTGGGAGGAAGTGAATGGCTTCGCCGAAAGAAGCAGAGACGCAGTATTCAACGATGTAGCCGGCACGCACACCATCTGTGACGTGCTATTCGCCGGCATCTCCAAGTTCGTTAACCTACGCAAATTCTATGGCCACAGTCTCATATTCACGCTCTCTGCGCCGCCAACCTTGCGCAGGTCCGCGGCCCGATTGAGCTGGATCTCTTTGCCTGTTCTGTGGACTCCGAGATCCAGGCATTCCTTCGTGCCGCTATTAACGCACTCGACATCCGTATCCGTGTCTCAAGCGCCAAAGTCGCCACCTCGGCAGCATACAGTCCCACGTGCACGCTCTCAGAATGGTTCGCGCTCTTTGAGCCCATCACACTCTCCGCGGTCAGCCTGGACATGGATCAACCAGTGGAAGGGCTTACGAGTGTGCTACCTCACGTAAAACACCTGGCGCTTAGACTCTCCGAGGGCTGCGGCGCCGTTGCTAACCTACTCTGGCTGTGTGCAGCTGCAAGCGGCCTTTCCCGCAGTTGAGCAGCTTAGTGTCGAGGCGGCACTCTATGTGGACGATCCGGGCTGCCGTGGGATGGCCCTAACGGCGGCGAACCGTTGTTTCCCTGTGTATTCAAGCTCACGACCACGTATGAAGCCAGTGAAGCTTTACCCCTCCTCCTGCGGATTGCACCGTCTATCCACACATTGCATGTCGAAAACGCTGATGCCACAAGCTTAGTGTCCGTGCTGCAGCGCAATAGGCAGTGCATCCCCGTGACAATCACGACACTCACCCTCCGAATGCGACTCGGAGGACGGCGATCTTGCCGTGTGGGGCGCGGTCTTTGCACATTTTCCGCACCTGCATACCCTCGACTTCACCGTAACGATGCTGTCCGGACGCGTGCCCGCCGTAAGTGAATGTCTCCTAAGTGTCGTCATCCGAACTGTGCCCATACCCTACTCAATACTATCACAGCCTGCCGCCTTCCTCACGGGCTTCCCGGCTAGTCTTCCCTTGGGTTTGCAGCGGCTCGAAGTCAAGTACTGGACACGAGTATGTTCTCTCGCCGTGGCCCCGGAGCGGTTCCTCGTCCGACACCTTGGTGATGCAGACAGGACAAGTGCTACGGAGGCAGCTGCTTCGCGCCGTTGCCCCAATCTGAGCTGGATTTCGATACTTGCACCACCCTTCCATCTCAACCTCCAGTGGACAAAGGACGATATAATCATGATATAGACACATACGAATTGAGCACACCAGATCACAAAAGATATTCAATATTGATAAACGAGAGAATGAGTGGCATTTGTATTCTTCCTTACTTGAGCTGATCTTGTGGTCAAAGGAAAGATAGGGGTGATATTGCACCGAGTCAAAGGATGCCCTGATCCAGCGGCGGGCGACCATACGCCTCCTACACCAACATCATTAGTGCATTATCCACCTCATCATTGGATAGAGAAATACGCACCGGCTCCTGCGGGTGGTTACCCAACACAGCCTCGATCCGCGCCAACACCGCAGCATCCAGCTTGGGCAGGACCTCAAGCGCCCGAGGTTCGCCTCGAGCTGTGCGACGGAGGACACGCCGAGGATGACTGTGGAAGTGTGGCGGTGCGCCGCAACCCACGCGAGCGCCAGCGCGGTTCCGCCCAGAGTTCAGCAAGTCGGGGAGAAACGACGCACCCGCAGCAATTTGGCTGAGGAGACGCACTTTCCAAAGCAGCTCTTCGCCTGGGGACCCTCCGTCGCCCAGCGGAACATGGGCACGGTGGCGGCCGCGTGGCCGTCTGGGATGCCGTCGTTGTACTAGCAAAGTTAGTTTACGTGTTAGAGGGGTTGAGGAGGATATACCTTCCCCGTCAGCAGTCCGCCCTGCAGTGCAGAGAATGCGGTTGTGCCCAGGCCGCATTTGGCGCATAAAGGGCTACAAAGTCAGCATTAGCTACTGCTGAAGTTTGATGGTTGCCCACGCACGCCAGTATTCCTTCTCCGGACGTTCATGGGTGGAACATGCTATCGTCTCCTCAGCATTATTTCGAAGGAAGAAAGAAGATGGCGCAGACTTGTGCTTGCACTGCTCCCGATCGATCGGGCGCGATGAGGTTTAAGCGGTGGCAACATCTGTGCTGCGGGTAAGCGACGGGAGGTCTCGGGAGAGGTACACGCCACGATGCGCCTCCTCGATCTGGTGCGCGCCCACTCGGAGGTGCCCCAGTAGAAAGCCTGCGTGTGAATCTTAGTGGATATGGATAGACAAAATCCACCACTCACCCAGCCCTGGTCGATAACATAGTTAAATGCGCGGACGATCTCCTCCATCGGAACTAGCCTGCGCCAGTTGACCTCCTTATGGCGAATGTAAGAAACCCACCGGTGGTATCGCAACGATGCGCGAAGATGACGTCGACATAGTCCATCTGGAGCCGTCGCAAACAAGCCTTCGTGCCCTCGATAACGCTGTTGCCAGTCAGAGTTGTAGGAAGGAAAGGAAGGTGGCGCACTGTTTGTGCGACAGCCCCGTGTCGTTCGGGCCCGTGCCTGGCTCGTGGCTCCAGAATATCTTGGTTGAGATGACGAGGTCCGTGCGGGCGCCAGCCAAGTTCTTTGATAGCGTGTCCCCTGATTTTGCTGGAGTCAGAGAAAGCGTGGTCAGAAGGGAATCTCAGGGAACGCATATTTCGCGCTCAGCCGCACCTTTCTGGTAGTCCTCCGCGGTGTCGAACATGTTGATCCCATTCTCGAAGGCGGCCTGCATGATGTCCTTGACGCTCTCGCCGACGACGGAGCCTCCGAGGGTGAGCCCTGTCGAGAGCTCAGCGATAAAGCCAATGGGGAATGCGCAAAGACGGACAGCCGCCGAGAGAGAAGAGCGGCACGCGCAGACCGCTGGGGCCCAACCGGGCGGAAGGGCATCGCTTTTGCGTCGAAGACGGGGACTGGAGAGGACATGGGGGCAGGTGGAGAGGAGTGGAATGGGAATCGATTGCAGCGGGCGGCGAACGGGCCGGTGGTGTCTGCGGAAGGCGGAGCGCCGTCGGTGGGGGGCAGTAGACCTATTAGTGAAATGAGCGATTGGCTCTGCGTGATGAGCAAGACATGGGTAACGCACCGTGAAAAACTTGAACACGCCGTAGCGACTATCAGGACCCAGTTACGCGGACGAAATAGCACACGCACCTTGTCCCCGCCGGTTGTGCCCTGCTGCTTGCCATCCGGGCCGTCCGGCTGATTTCACGCCGCTTGTTTCCGCCCAGTAGAGGCCGCCACCCTGGGTGTCAGACTCGCCAGCGAAAAGTGAGGGATTACTGGGGAGTAGATCAGCGAAATAGAGACTGAATGCACAACACGCACCTCAAGCCACGCCAAATCGACCGTCGCAGCCCATCCCTGCTCCTACTGCTGCTGTGGCTCAAGCATAGCATTCGTGCCGCGCTCCGACCAGGGGCGGGACCGTCTCCCGCGCACATGGAAGGAGAAGACAAGGCGTGGCTGCTTACGTGGCACTGGCGATCGGCATCAGGTCCGGGCTCGGCGGCCGTGACATCAATCTCTGGTTTCTTTCCTCCGCTCCACGACGACGATGCGCTTGCACGACGATACCTAGCGCACCCTGCGGGCCACTCCGCAGCACACGAACGACAATCCGAGGCCCAATTTCTCTGGTGCATTTCTACTCCAGACATCGCCCTGCTCGTTCTCATAACTCGGGCCGGCAGTGCGTCCAGGACTATGGTCGAATGCCACTCCCCGTGCTCGCCAGCTTTCTTGCTCCACCCGCTTTGCGCCCGCGCCGCCGCCGCCACCCGTTGCTAGCCGTTGCTGCTGCGCTGCATCTACAAGTTTGCCACCCCCACGGCTCTTCCTTCGCCTTAGAAATCCAGCCCCGGGCCGGTCCATATATCCCCTGGTGTGTAGCTCCGGTCGCGTTCGCCTCGCGGACCGGCTCTTGCGCCGACACGCCAACGACACTGGCCCGCGCTTTTGCTTCCTTGCCGCCAGTATCTTGACGCCTACGACAATTGTACTTAACGCGCTGAATCTACGGATCCTCTAGTTTGTCGTCCACTCAACGTGCACTTACCAGCAAGCTCTTCCGCACTGAGCTGTCCCCCCGCATGACTGTGTTTTCGGCAACGGTCATTTGATGCTTGTCATATCTATTCGACAACATGCTGGAATGCCCTGTCGCCTTACCAATCAAAGAAATATTATCGAAAGTTAGGCATGCACGAGTCCAAACACATGTCCGAAGTCGGCAATAGATTCAATCGCTGGTCCACTGCAAGTCCAGGAATGACCCACGGATAACTATCTGCCGTGACCCGCCACACCCTTTCAGTAGTTCTGCCTGGAGCTCATCCGCGCTTGGAAGACGGCTCAATCCCACTCTTCCCGTTTGCCCCCTGGGAAGGACAGCCCTTGAGGACCAAATATGGACACGGAGACTTTCGAGAGTGGGCGGAAGGATGGTCGATAGGCTGGCGAGGAAGTGAGGGGCCTGGAGAACGGTGTTGATAGGATCAAGGCCGCAGATAACAGGACAGAATTCACCTCGCTTGGCCGAGAATCACCGCTGGACTCTTTGACACGGAAATCGAGGGTGCGCAGGTTCGGGAAGAAGGCAAGGATCCCGACCAAAGGGAGTAATTGCCATTATCCGACTGCAATGCTACGTTAGTTATCGTGGGGCGGAATATACCTCTCGATGCGCTGGAGCGTAAACAGCAGTCTCCCGGCAGCTTCATTCCAAATCTTCAGTTTGTTCACAAATGGTGTGCATGGGAGAACTGCAGGCAACACTTTGCAGGCTGTGGTCAGCTCGCGCACACACGGAAGCACACAAGCTGGCTCGCTCGCGGCCATCTCTGTGTTATAAGGCCCATCGATGACCTGAACGCACAGCTGTTCGAGTCCCGGGAAGGTGCGGCAGCTGCTCGATGCCAGAGTGGGTTAACACCAATGAATTCTGGATCCGCAATACAAGATGTCGCACCCGCTGGAACACGACATCTTCGCGACGACAACCTGGCAAGGCTGAGCAGACGCTTGTCAATGCACCAAGTGAACTTGACCAGCATGGCAAGATCGAGGATGTGAATCCATGACCAGAGATCCCCTTCTGGCTCCGAATCTCCAATCGCAAATCGGAAAACCAACTCAGAGACGGGAAGTCGGATATCGAGTGCACAGGAAGCTGCAGGAAACGCACCAGCGGCACCACTCTTCCACCACATCATTCTCTCGTCCCGCGGCCGCCGCTCACTCCTGAACTAGGCTTGACGGAGCAACGCCCTTGCACGAACAGTATATACCACCAGCCACGGTATGGCTTGCCAAAGCGGTCCCCACCCGGGCCGTCGGGGTCAGGAGAACATCTGTCCAATGAGCCCAGGACCCTGCGCGGAGCGGAGCTAGCGGGGAACGACCCCCGAGCGAGTCGAGCGGGCATCAGGACGGTGCAGGCCTTCGCGTTGAGGGTTAGGGTCACGCTGGCAGACGGCCTTCTTCGCGGTGGGTCCCTCCGCTGTGTCGGCTGTGCGTGCGCGGGACTTATCTGCGGAGGTGTAGCTGAGCAAGCGGCACCACCCGACGTGCCCGGCCACCAGTCGACGCCGGGCGTTCCACGAGGTTGCGGAGGCGTATAATGTCCTTCGACGCCGGCGCTCCACGAGGTTGCGGAGGCGTGATAATGTCCCTGCGGGACGCGGTACTAGGTGTGCCGCATACGGTTGATTTCGTGTGCTTCACAGAACTGAGGAGACTGTGACAGACGCGCATATGACAACACGCCTCCGTGTGAGAAGTGGACGACTTGAAGGCACTGATAACTTGGAGGATTCCGATTCAATAGTTTACAGAATATTTTCCACTAGAAGGACTACCAATCATTGTCATATTTCCCTGGGGCGCCCGGCTGAGCGACGCTCCGCAAGCATTTTATCCACGCGCTCCCAGAACCCCGCACTAGTCGCGCCGCCTGTCCACTCATCCTGCCACTCCGGCCAGCCGATCCCCTGGTGGACCAGGAGGCACGCAGGGTGCTCTATGAGGCGTCCGTCCGAGCGGCACCTTCCCAACGCTGGTGGTAGGACAGGACGAATACATTCAACCGCCGATGTGGATCCGACAGCACGTCCAGCAACATGTCGAGCGGTGGGGCGTCCCTCTGCAGAATGTCGTGGTACCACTCCTTTGTATCGATGGCGAGATGCGTCCAGCGCACGGAGCGCCAGAAGCGGCGCCAGACTTGCGGCCAGCGGTGGTAGAACGACAGGTGGAGGTGTGTGATGCTGCGTGAGCGCGGAGAGGTCGGGAGATGCGGTCATCATGTAGAGCGAGAGCAGGTTCGTGGTGAGCCGCCGGAGGTTGGGCAGAGTTCCGAGCACGCCTGCCGTGCTAAATATGAGACCACGCGGTAGAATGACAACATCTTGGAGGTGGGGGGCAGGAGTTCAGAATACTGTTAGTCTCAGACGAGGAGAGCTCTCCGTCGAGACGCAGACCGGTCGACTGCGCGATGAATGCCTGCCGGCGGGGGTCTTCGATGAGCGCCCTGAAGGCAGACGGCGACAAGACTGGGAATGGTGTATTGAGAGTCGGACCAGCCTCCGGATCCCGAAGACTCAAGACGTTGTACAGCAGCGGCTCCACACTGGCGGCCACAGCTGGTCAGCGAGAGAAACGGACCAAAGTACGCATTGCCGGACGCACCACTCTTTCACCCACCACGCTACGCGCATCAACACTGGGATGCCCCTGGCCGCTGCAGCGCCGCCTCGCGGAAGATGTGCAGCTCGATCTCGGGGGGAAGGGCGGGTCGTCCATGAGAGTGAGAAGCAAGATGCGGGGATGAGTCAGCTGGCGACCGCGGGAATCAATCAACTGGAAGCGCCAGTGTTCCGCAAAATGCTGTATAACATCGCTGCAAGTGCCTACCAGCGAAAGACGCGCGCCGATGCGGGACAACGCTGTTGGCAGCCAGATGCCAGCGCATAGTGGACGACGCAGAGGATCGGTCGAATAACGGCGACTGCACCATTCTTGGGGGAAAATTGGCAATATGTTGATTAGTAGTGCACGGATACAACAACGTCTATTACACTGACAATGGGTGAGCCCCAATTACTAGTATCAAGTGCACAACACACCTTGTCCCTCTGCACACGACAACCATGAGACCCGCCGAGACGGGTCAAGGAAGATAAAAAAATTGTGCCACGACGACGGACAAATACGATGTACAAGGAGCCGCGTGCGCTGGCGCCCACCCGCCAGCCACATTTTATTTTTGAAGCGCCTGATCCCATGTCCATCCTGCCTCGAAAGCAGGCTGTTCCTTCCTCGACACCAGCGCGGGCCACCGAGGGCAGAATCGCAAGGTCGGCTCAGACCGTGTGGGGAAAGTGGGCGGAAAAGAAGGGCGATGACCCGTGTTTGGCGGGCGGCGCACGGACCATGCTGATGCACGTGCACAGGGAGCCATCAAATTCATGTCCGTGGACACGTTGGCCGTGAAGGTTTTTGGGCACCATTGTAGTCCTTTGAGCGCAGAATGCTGCACTGTGTCCTCCGATACCCGACTGTATTAAGCTGGAGAAGGAGCTTGAGAGCAAGACCTGTCTTTCAAGTTGAGCGCAGTGGCTTGGCATCCCAGTCGGCTGTCACACGCTCAGTGACGCCTCACGCGGCAACCATTTCTCTCCTAACAACCGTGTTGCCCAACGAGCTCCTCCTCGACGCCTTCCGACGAGCGCCAAGGGATGACCTGCACAATGTCGCCCGTGCATCGCGGCGCTTCTGCTCTTTGGCTCGCACACCTACTCACCAACCTCTCGTTCCTGCCCTATACCTTTGACGACGGAGCAAACGCAGCAGTTGGAGGATAAACTGGGACTGTTTGGGTCGAATAGCGTGGCGCCGTACGCCAAGTGCATCTCTGTCAACCTGCTTAGCTGCTACTCTGGGTATTCGACAAATTCAGCGATGTCAGGTTCAGCGACGAGGACGAGATTCATTCTATGCTCCATAGCGTACTCACGACACTCCCCGCTTCGGCAATCTTCGCTACTTCAAGGCTGAACAGATAGAATTCACGATCATGGGCGCTTGGTGCGCCGCCCAGCTACAATCACTGAGACATTGTTCCTCATCAACTGTGCAATCCCCCTTCTCTCGCCAGCTCTATGTTCCTCCAGAAAATATCCATCAGCAG